AGCGAGCATAGACCATATTTGATATCTATCTTACTATTTGAGAAGACAGATAAATGTCTCTGCCCGCATTTCACTTTCAATTAAATGGAAGTATAGCCTACAATAGATAGTAATAATGGGTAATGTAAATATTTATAGAGCATATGGGTAAAGAAAGCAGATTACTTCATTGATAAATATTAATAATTTTCATAGCAGGATGAGTAAATCTAATATTATGGTAATTATAAGATAAAATTAATATTTAACAATTAGTACATGTATCTTTCCAAAATACAGAAACTCTGCTGAAATTTTCAACTCACACTTACTCTTAAGAAACAGTAGGTCTAATATTACGGTCACTTACCTGCTTGCAATAGCATAATTGTGAAATCAACTGTAACATTGCCCAACCAAAATGGTCTTTAAAAAAGAATATTTGCTAAATAAATGTCTGAAGGCTGAAAATTCTTAGTTTCACATTTTTATGTTTACACTTGCTAATTATGGTATCGTAAAATAGTAAACATTGCACAGATTTTAGGGAAGTTTATAAGTTATATTGGCAAAAATGTATTCCTCTAATCTAAAAAATCACTTATCGCTTTTGCATTTTAGGTACATTAACAGAGGTAGAATATTTCATTTTGTTATATAACTTTTTTAGATATTTTTATCAAATAGAGTCAATTTTCTATAGTCGATTTGCTTTTAAGTATGATGGACGACGACAAGCCGTTAATTGTATTATATATCTATACTAATATTCATTTTTAAAAAGTGGCTTTTAGCCAAATATAACTAGAATATATTGAACCCATGGCTAAACACTTTTTACTGAATTTATCTGTATTTCTATTGATTCTATATCTTTTTCAAATTTAGTTACTAAGTTTTATCGATTTAATGTTAATTTGATTAATCTTTTATTATAATTACCAATACTATTTAAATACTTTATTTTTATTTTAAATGTTTGAAATAAATCTGCTTCGTTTTATATATGGCTTCATATAAAATCGCCTTCACTTCTTTATAAAATAATGGATTATTTCTTTCTACAGATATCTCTGAAAAATATTTTTGCTAAATTTCATTAAACTTTAATTTTTTTATCTTTTTATGATAATCATATTATGTTAATCACAATGATATGTAGCAATGTATTGTAAACAAAATGTCTAACATGATATCTTAATCGTTATTACGATAAAGGTATTTCTCACTTGTCCTTGAAAGTGGCATATATTTATAGTAAAAATAAATGTTTAAAATTTAGGTTCATTTTTATCTTAAAAGCTTTCTCGTTCCAGGCTAAAAGGCTTTAATGAATTCACGTATATTTGCTGAAACTTTTAAATAAATATAACTTTGAAACGTGCCTTAATGTCTAATAGTTTAAATTTTACCGCAAAAGTTTAATAAAGTATAACTGAATATATTAGTTTATATAAAGGATTGAAGTGATATAATTTACTATTTAATATACTATATTGATAAATTTAAGCTTCTTACAGCAAAATAATGAAATTTGTTGAGCAGATAGACTTAGAGAATAAAGCCAGGAAAACTATGAAAAAATATTAAATTTGTGAATAAAATATGGAATTAATCAGTAAGTTTTGATGGTAGTTTCGATAATCCTTCTGAGCCTATGAGTATTATTAACTTCCCATTAATGTAAAATTGGTTGGTGCAAAAGGGTCAAGTTTAAAGTCCAATTTAAACTAGGTACGAATTGTTTTACATTTCATTTCACATAATTCTAGCTAAGTAACTGTGTATAATCAGTTATTTGAACAAGCTTGCAACAGTATTCTATTTTATTTTTATTTCAGGTGTTTGTTTCTGATTCAGGCAGCCCTCCACTTAATGCTTCAACTACTGTTGCTGTTCATTTGTTAGATATTAATGATTGTCCACCTGAGTTTGAAATGACTTCATATAACTTTACTATTATCGAGGATTTCGGACGAAACTTCTCTGGACCTCGAATTGTCGGGCGTGTATTGGCTACAGATAATGATCTTGGTATCAATGGAACCGTCAATTATAGGATATTGAGTATAAATCATCCGTTTGAGGTTGGTGATTCAAAATAAAAAAATATAACTAATGTTCTGCTATATTAACTTCTATCTATATACTATTTTCTTATCTTTTGCTGCGTAAAGGAGTGCTAAGATATAAGATATAATTACAATTTATATACGTTTGATTACTAAAAATATATTTCGTACTCAATATCTATCCATATGCTAGAGCTTATCTATTATGTTGAGATGTGTAGTGATTGTTCAAATGCATGAACAAACTTTCCCTCATTTACTGCTATTTCTAAATGAATGTTCTCAGGATATTTGCCATATTATTTTTTTGTATGCAAAAAAATTATTAATCTGAAGACTTTAATTTCATATGGAAGTACATGAGGAGATCCATAAATCAATCGTACCAAAAGACTTCGGCTGATCCGCGTTATACTGTGGCCGTTTGGCTTTAATATGACGTTCAGATTGATATGTCCATAAGACATCATCCAACATTTCGGGAGAAAACGGGATGAGAGTTTTTTCGTCATGCAATGAACATCATCAGAGCTAGGATACATACCTGTTAAAGCCTTAATATAATAATAAGTCACGAAGACTAACCGGCTTGATTTATATGATATTTGTAAGAAATGCGAGCAAAATTTAAGATATAGATGAATAAAGAAAGGCTTAGTTAATTCACATATAGTCTAGTGCGCCGGTGTGCGTACATATGCTAACGTCTGTACGTAAAATCGGTCCTAATTCAGAGTAATTAAAAAAATGCTTAATATTAGCCCCGGGTCATCAAGGCTTAATGACCCAAAAAAAGAAAATAAAAAAGGATGATCAAGGTTGCGTTAGCGTGTAAGTGATCCTAGTTAAATTAATTATATGTAAGTCTGTACATGTAAAAGTCCGGTTAAGAAAGAACCAGTCCGAACCCGTTGGTCTGATTTATTAGGGTTTAATTACTAAAGGAGAAGCTTGGTTGGGATTGTGGATATCCGCACGTCTGTTTTGGCTCATGAGCTTGACATGTGTGTTGAACGAGTGCTCATTTGGTTCAAACCAAAACTCGGCTAACATGTTGAGTCGTCCTCTTTGGACGGCGACCCAACACCCTCTATCTCTTTCGAACTTTCAGTCAAGAATAAGTAATCCATACTCAACTTTCTACCGCCATTCCTCCCTTTCAACGTATTCCCCAATCTATTAATTTCAATGGCCTCTCTTATCTTGCATTTCGTAGCAGACATACCATAAACAGCAAACATCTGCGTACTAGAGCATTCTATAATATGTCCAGTATCCGTCATGTGTTCGTACTCTGCTGACTGTTCGATTCAGCCGCTTTTCCAAGTAATTTTGTTTTCCGCTAATCTTTGACGGATCGGCCAACAGACCTCGCAAACATAAGGCCTACGTTAGGAGCAAATAATTTTACAACAGCCGGATCTTGATAGTGTCATATTTCTCTTTAAAAGAAGTTATAACCAAAGAAAGTGTCAGAGCTGTTTTGAAAATTGTCTTTATCCCCCCCTTCCTCACTAGTTCTCCTATCTTCTTGGTAAGAAACCATGACGGCAAGATTATTGCATGGAAAAGGGTCTTAACTTGCCTCTCTCTGACCAAATAGACTTTGCCTCAAAATGTATTCCTCATAAAATATATATTATTATCATTTACTCTCAAAGGATAATTATTCTCCATAATTAAAACTTTCAGTCAGACGATTTTCATCCGCAAGCCCCATACTCTTACTATTCATAGAGTTAACAATTCCAACCTTAGTTTGGCAACTATAATATAAAAGAAAATTAGGAAACTAATCAGCATATGTTTGTTTCTTATAAACACTCAGCCTAACTCCCCATCTTTTCCAATAACCAAAACGTTTAAAAAAGGTGATTTCTTATTTTCTTCTAATGCCATTGCGAATTTAATATCTCTTTCACGCTGGTCAAGTGCACCCTACTTAGGCATAATTTCATAGCCTCCCCTAGCCTAGCTTTAAGTCCTCCTGTAGGATCTTTCATTAGAGGCTTATATCTATCGATATTACTTAAATGCACGAGCCATTTCCATAGTTAATATGACCTATCCAAGACTACCATTGCTCCACCCTTTTCGACTTTCATAACACTTAGGTCATTACGAAGTGAATTTCTTTAAAATCTGCTCAGAATAAAGGACATTTTTGGCGTAACTACCTGTCAATGTGAGGAATCCCCTCCCGCTCCATAATATTCTTGACTTGTTCAGGTAATCTGTCTGGTAGGCTAATTAGCTCAACCAGTATAGCCAGAGGATGCTAGTGCAAAATTTAATTCTCTTTCAAGTAGAAGTTTCACGCCATCCTTCAGCTCTGTACTGGATAAATGAATTAGGTTTTGGAAGTTGCTTGACCTTATTTTTGCAACTTGGTCATATTTTCAGAAAGACCCAGATGAAGGCACCTTGTCCGGAGTCTATTGTATGCATGAAAACTTCCCGAGTCGGAATCGTCAGTCAGCCTTGCCATTCTTAGCGCGACACTACAACTCGTCAAGGAGACAAGTGAAGTTGATCCTTTGACGAACTGTCTGCTAAATAGTTGTGATGAAGCTAGTGTATATGCGCTGATGAAGGCCTGAGGCAGAGTGTAGAATACAAAGCTTTGAGTAGCAGCGATAGAGCGATGAAATCACTGAAACACGTAGATTTAGGAAGGATCCTACGGGACAAGAGGAGGACCCTGATATTATCTGAAGGAGAGGAGAGAAGAGAGAGGAGAAGTGGGAACCTATGGGGAGTAGGAATAGGTTTAAAATAGGTTTAAATAGGAAATTAAGAAATTATGATATTGAAGGCGTGATACGAGGCGAATAGCGCAGGACAAAATGAGAGATACCACAGCTGTTTAGCAGAAAATTTGTCAAAGATTCGACTACACTTGTTTCTTCGACAAGTCGCAGTGTTGTGCTATGAAAGAAAAGGCTCACTTATGATTCACATTATGATGCCGGGGAAATGTTTGGGAAAGTATCAAGTCCATGGTACGACACCTTGAACTCCGTACAAGGTGTGTTCTCCTAGGTTCCCTGCGAATATGACCAAGTTGCGAAAACAACGACAAGAGACCGCGACTATACAAAAGACCTAACCATCTTGATCTTACTATCTCCGATTAATTATTGCATCTTTGAAAAAGTCGGTAAACATATCCTTATTATCATGAACCCTCCTAGTCATCTTATAGATTCTTGGTGCTAATCAGATCGTATAATTTATTAGGGATTTTCTTTAATTTAGTGATCATGTTCGAGTACATTTTATTTCCTTTGAGGTGGCGAGTGAAAGCGATTCGTAAGTAGGCCTTATCGGAAATTGTATGGGGGTTTTATTAAAGTGAATAGGTCTTCGGCTGACCGCATTAACAGGCTAAACTAACCAATTAGAACCCAAACCAGACTTAGACAATCCCTTTCTGAGGTACTGACTGATGTGGATTTCCTTAAGTTATAGGATATGACTTATATTCGTATTAAAGTAGGGTTTTGAGACTACCAGTAACTCAGTGTAATGAGATGTATTCACCCTA